CCCACAGAGGTAAAAGCCAAGGCCAAGTGGGAGGCTTGGAACCAGAACAAAGGGATGTCCAAGATGGACGCCATGAGGATCTATATTTCCAAAGTGGAAGAGCTAAAGAAGAAGGAAGGCGGCTGACGACAGGGTGGCAGACACAAGGAAGTAGCCTGGCACCTCTGATAGGGAATGGGCTTCTTAAAACATCTTGACGGGCTGAAGGGTAGCAGGGTTAGCTGAGGCATCAATAAATCACTTAAACTGCAAGAGTGATTGTCTGCTGTTGGAAAAGAGAAATGCAGGGACTGAGAGAGACCTGGGAGGGTGTCCAAAATATAGAAAAAGCATCTGTCTTCCAGGTAAAATTCCATCAAACTGGCTTTTGGTGTGGGTTTGAGTGGAGTTCCTAGCCTTCCTATTCCAAGAACATATGTAGATATCTGGCAGGAGGGGGTGAGGGAGAACATGCTGTGGGAATGCCCAAGATTTGACATCATGGAGACCACTCTTCCAGTGACTCAGCCTCTTGGAAGGCTGAGGCCTTGACGCCTTATCTCTTCAAGGGTTGTTGATTTGCTAATACCCCAACACTACAGAAGGGAAACGAATCTGTCTTCTAAAAAGCTAGTCAAGTCCAAAACCCCCCACTAGAACACAGGACCAGTGAAGCTAATAATTTAAGGGAATCCAAGTTTTTAGTGACAATGTGGTGAAGTACCTGATACAACACAGCAGCTGAGAAACAATGTAGCAGATAGTTTCAAAATCCCAGCCCCAGACAGATTTATCTAAGGGTCAGCAACCAAAATTTTCTTAGGATTACTCTGGAGCTAACTCCGGTTTCTGCCGCCACGGCACTCACTCTAGCCTGAGCAACAAAGTGAGACTCTGTCTCAAAAAAAAAGAAGGGGGTGTATTGTGCTCTTACAACAATCTCTTAATATCATACTATTGTCCACAAACATCTTGGCGTCAGCCTAGCTCACAGCAACCTTCAAACTCCTGGCTCACAGCGATCCTACTGCCTCAGCCTCCCAAGTAGCTGGGAACTACAGGCATACACCACCATGCCAGCTAATTTTTGTATATATTTTTTTTAGTTGGTCAATTAATTTCTATTTCTTTTTTTTTTAGTAGAGACAGGGTCTCGCTCAGGCTGGTTTCAAACTCCTGACCTCGAGCAATCCGCCTGCCTCGGCCTCCCAGAGTGCTAGGATTACAGGCGTGAGCCACCTCGCCCGGCCTACAACATACCCCTTGACCTATACATGTGCCAAAGTGTCAGAGCCCAGCTTCTACTCTTTAGTGTTCATTATCACAGAGGCAGCAATGCACAACCATCATGCCTGGTGGCTGGGATATGGAGTGCTAAATGTTAATCAGAGAAGCAGGTCTGCTGTGGCATGGGACTTCCCAGTACTTTTCCTCAATTAAAAACTATTGTCATAGATCATGAAGACATCAGGTCAGCTCCAGTTCATGAGGGACCAATAAACAATAGAAGTAATGACCATAAAGACTTCAGAGGACCAAGGAAACCAAATCTCGCCAGGTATCTTCAAGATCTTTTCACATATTTGCAGGTGGTTGCTGCAGACTAAGTACATGACTTAAGAATGAAGTATACCCAGGACACCACAGTGGCTAAAGCACTTGTCTGTGCAACTATAAACTGGGCAAGAGCCACACTGTAGAGCAGCAGTCTCCAACCTTTTTGGTATCAGGGACTGGTTTCGTTGAAGACAATTTTAAAATGGACGCAGGGTCGGGGGAGGTGGTGCAGAGCTCTGGCGGTGATACGCGGTCGTTTTCCTAACACAGACCGGCACTGGGCGGTGGCCCAGGGCTTAGGGGCCACAGCTGTAGAGCACAATGCTGTTCTCTCTTTGAAGGATGTTATGGACACATTTTCATGCTTTTAGGATCATGATTCATGTTAAATGTGAATTAATAGTAAAAATGGTGATACATTTTGTTCCAAAATATGGTGGCAATTTAGGAGCTATAGATATAATCATACCATTCTGTAAATCATTAAAGAACCAAAGTAAAAAATCTGCCATAATTAGGACTGCAGAAAGTAACCACCAACAACAAAACAAGTCATGGTGTAGAAAATGTGCTAAATTTCATGGGGAAAAGGGAGAAAATAAGAAGTTACAGATTTGTATTTGCTTACTAAGTGGTAACCTATAGAAGGTAGGGGGAATAGGATTGATGGGGACAGGGTAGAAGCAAGATATTTTTGAGATATATATATATATTTATATTGCTTTGATTTTGTTGTTTTTAAAGAGACAGGGTCTCACTCTGTTGCCCAGGCTGGAGTGCAGTGGCACAATTATAGCCTCAAACTCATGGGCTCAAGCAATCCTCCTGCCTGAGATTCTAGGGTAGCTAGGACTATAGGAGTGTACCACTACACCCAACTAATTTCTATTTTTTTTTATAGAGACAGGCTCTCTCTATGTTGCCTGGGCCGGTCTTGAATTCCTGGGTGCAAACGATCCTCCTGCCGTGGCCTCCCAAAGTGCTCGGGATTACAGGCATGAGCCACTGTGCCTGGCCGTTGCTTTGATTTTTGAACCATGTGACTCTATTACCTTTTTTTTTTTTTCTTTTTGAGACAGAGTCTCTCTTTGTTGCCCAGGCTAGAGTGAGTGCCATGGCGTCAGCCTAGCTCACAGCAACCTCAACGTCCTGGACTCAAGCCATCCTTCTGCCTCAGCCTCCCGAGTAGCTGGGACTACAGGCATGCGCCACCATGCCTGGCTAATTTTTTTTTCTATGTATATTAGTTGGCTAATTGATTTCTTTCTATTTATAGTAGAGACGGGGTCTTGCTCTTGCTCAGGCTGGTTTCGAACTCCTGACCTCGAGCAATCCGCCCGCCTTGGCCTCCTAGAGTGCTAGGATTACAGGCATGAGCCACCGCGCCTGGCCTCTATTACCTTATATAAAGAGTTCTGAGATAAGGGTACTTGTTTATTGATCACTAAAGACAGTAAATTTCCAATTGATTTCCCCTAGGGTAGGGATAAGAACTCTTGGACCAAACAAGGAAATATTTCACTAACTCTTAGCATGAATTTCAGTGGACAGGTTGAAGGCCTCCTGAAAACTCCAGCTGCTAAGCCACATTGGTACTGTGTGACAGATGGGATAGGCAGAAAGTCACATAAAGGAGCACTGAATGTTCATGGCTTTGTTAATTCCACCAAGATGTCAGGCAGACATGAACTTCGTACAGCTAACTCTCCAGGCTAACCTAGGAGAACTCTAGCAACACGGTCATTCTAAATCTCCCTAGACTTAAACTCAAGGCATATTTGCACTTATGCTAGGACTCCACAAACCCTCATTTCAAAAACAAATTGACTACTCTGAAAACACAACTCTGGAGAAACTAAAGAGCTTTCCAACTTCATCTGTTTAAAACACCAGCTTGGGCAAAACTGCCTTTCTTACCACTTCATTTTCTAATTGATCATACCATCCCCCACAGAGGTGAGAAAGTAACTGTAACTTTTGGTCTACAATTACGGTTTTTTGGTTTAAAATTGCTAGCTGAACTGTGCAGAAGCAAGCTTTTGGATTCCTTGATAAAAGGCCAAAGTTGTACACTGGATGTCTTTAGAAGGAATAAAATGTTAAGGATCTCAACAAAGGAAAATATGACACACAACGAAATAACTAAAAGGGGGTTGATCTCATAAAGCCAAACGTCCCAGGCGGACAAACAGCATTAGTTTCTATCATGCACAGTGCCCTCTATCATGTGTAATTGTACATTTAAGAGAAAAACATTTTGGTATACTAAAGTACAAGATAAGCAGATAAAAAGGAAATATGTGTTATTTAGTCACTGCTTACATGAACCACTTATTTTACTATATCAAATTAAATGGTCACATTATAGCAGCCTAAACACACTGGGAAAAGTAGGTACTTTTCACGAGAATGAGTTTATTATTAGAGATAAATATCAAGAATTAATTACCTCATAGAACACTTGAGATTAACATATTATGCTCTAAAGACACACAGAAGTTTACTGATTGTTCAAAGTTCATATAATAATTTCCCCACATATGGGGAAAAAAAAATGAACCACTTACCTAGAGGAGGAACATATATAACTTGGTTTGCTTTGAAACACGTGATTGCTTCCCTAAGATAAGGAAATTAAGTTGAATGAAAAGTTGTGGAGTTGGACAAAAATTTTTCTCGGTGAAGGTAAGATCACTGCTATAAGAAGGTAAGCTGAAACTCACCCAGAAATGGCCATGCCCCACCATTGCCAGTAAGGGAGAACAGCAAAGTTGTGATTTATAATAATTTTATATACATTATTTTAGGACTGGTATCCTTCGAGTTAATTCTTTC